AGGCACTTGGATTAGAGATGCTGCTGCCATATTTTTGGAAAGGGTTGAATGAGAGAGGACCTAAAATTGGAAATTCCAAAGTTTTACAACTTGCCGAGAGGCACTTCTTTACTGTGGCCCTGGAAAGTGTGTATTTTTCTGATAATCCAACTCCAAGTGATAGAAATTCGTTCCTGTTTGAAACCACCTTCATTCACTCTCCTTTGGATCTTCCAGTGGTGATTAACTTCAGACTGGGATCCTTTTGCTAGCTTTTTTCATGTCCTTGTTATCTCAAAGTGTGAACCACAATTTTAGTTTCAGAACATTTTACTTTAGGCCTGAGCATTTTCAGTGGACTCTAAACAAAATTAGTTTAGTCACCGCATCTTCATCTCATTTCCACAATACCCTGTGTCTCTTTGGCAAACCTTTTCCACTTTTTTTTTCCATTTTGTTATTTTAATCAGAAAACTCAAATGCATTCAAGCTCTGCCTAAAGTGATTCTCACCTTAATTTGTAGTGAAGATCTTATATTTGGAACGGAGAGGAGCTCTCAAATTTATTACTTAATGTTCTCCAAAAAATACTTGCCTTGTGCACTGACCATCTGCAGGCTCTCTGAAACAGCTCCCACTACCTCCTCTGTCACAGCTATGCTGAAATTCAACTTGCAAATCAGTCTTCCTAAAACATCAACCTCAATCAAAACATTCATTCCCCCAAAATACATTTTTACACACAATTGCTTAGGAAACTGATGACAAACTCCTTTGTTTGCATCGTTCCCCCGCACTGACTTAGTTCTGATTCATTTTCTTCATTTTATGCAGTTCATGGAACACTACACCATCACGTATGTTCCCATAGCCCACTGTGATCTTTTGGGAACAGAGCAAATCCACGTGTGCACCAATAGCAGAGTTTCCAAACAGCATCGATGTAACATGCATGTTTATGATGCATTGTATTCCTAGGTGTTTTTTGAACATTTTAAAGCTTTACTCATTGTACCTAACATCATGAGGAGCATTATTATTGTCCCATTGTACAGATGAAGAAATTGAAATACAGAGAAAGTAAGTTTTTCTAGGCCCCATGGTTAATAAATGGCAGTGTTGAAATTTGTTCTCAGATACACATACTTCTAATTTCTCTGGCAGGGTGCCTCTCTCTAGATCTCCACCAGTCATCACCTATAACCCTTTCCCCAGCACTGAAGGCCCATTTGAACTGAGCACAATCATCTTTCTGAGTGTGCAGTACAACCTTTTATTTTGAAGGTGGCCTGCTTCAAGAATTCTCCAGAGATCTCTCCTTCTCTGATTTTTTGGTCACCTTTCTCACTACTCTTTTCGTGCTATATTCCAACTGCCTTGTATTCCAACCCCATGATACATATCACATTGTGCAACTACAAAGAAAAATTCCTAAAATAAAATCTATAATTCATATTCTAATTTGCTTTTTTCAGTTCCCTCTCACCTACCTTCAAAGTGATCCTTATCTCCTCCTCCTTTATCTCACCTACTCCACATGCATTAGCCTTCTACGTTTTGTTCATGTACATTTGATATCACTCAGTGTCTTTTGTATCTTTTGCTTTATGCCGGAGAAGTACCCCATTCATTGTCCTGGTTAGGTGAGTGGTGCATTGATGGTGCTGTATTCCGTGAGGTCTCATTATCTTTCTTTCCATCTGTTATAGAAGTCCTGCATATTCCAAATACCACGTAATCAAACTGAGATCCTTGGCCCCGGCCCCGTATATTTATTTTGCTCCCCAATGCCAGTCTAGCATAACAAAGAACCTCTTTGCTCACACTCACCAGCCTGTCCTCCTCACTCCTGTCTGATGAAATGAGAATGTTCTCCTCTACTAGTAAGAGACCACCCCTACCACACTGCTGATTTGTCTACCCAGCCTCTTCTCCTATTACCCTGCCACATGTTTTGTACCCTCAGCGACCAAAATCAAAAACTACTCCCATGAAAAGGTCTGTTTTCTTTGTCTCCATCCTCTTACTTAAGGCATCCTGTCACTGGACATGCTGTCACCCTGCCCTGATATTTCTACTCAATATATTCATGTTGTCTCTCTTTAAATTGTAAGCATTCTCTTTTCTCACTTCAATAATTTGCTTTTTTTATTGTTTTGTTTTTTACTTACCTTTCTGTTTGTCTACTTGCTTCATCTTTTTACTGGATTTTTAAATTGCTAAAGACAGCCTTATCTAATTCTGTAATCTCTGCAACAAAGATTAAAACCTTACATATATTAATAATAAATACATAGAGGCTGGAATTTTTGTGTAGTACCCACTGAGCTACATCACAAACTCTGAGATGGAGGTTTTGAAGCCTACTTGGATAAGCATATATAGAAAATATGTATCAGTGTTCAAATGTAGTCTAATGTATCATTTTGCAAAAGACATACATAACTCAGACTTGGAAATTTAGGAAAACATTCCTGAATTCTGAGTCATAAGAATATCTTTGTTAACTAATCCTAGTTATAGTTTTAGAAATTCTTAATTCTTGACTCAATATGGATGGGCATTTCCTGTACACTCAATAATTTGCGTCTTTCTGTAGCACTAATACCTGACATTTCTGATGCTTAATTTTCTTTTCTGTAAAACCAGTATAACAATGCGTATTTCACAAGATGTTTTAGGAGGATTTAAGGAACTTACAGATTAAATGCAATAGTGTAGACTTTCTGAAAAGTCAACACTCGAATATGGTAGGCACTCAAAATATGGTAGGATTTTTCTCCCTAAGTGAACTGCAGAGGTTTGAGATTTATAACTAAAATCACCTGTTTACAGTGGTATCCCGATGCCAGCTGTTACCCCATGGCATAATCTTGGAACTGTCTCTTCCAATAATAAACCATTATTTATCTAATGGGAATTTTAAAGACCTGTGAGGCCGACCCGCTTTCACACTTGTAAAAGCGAGAGAGTGTAAATACTAGAGAAAGTTATTCTATACCCTGTGATTCTGCCAAAGGTAATCAGAAGGATTAAAATTAAATTCAGAAGACATGGGGTTCTGCCTGTGTGTCAATGTTCTTCAGGGACATTTCTATGAGCCATCTGAAGCCATTGCCCTCCTCTTCCTCACTAGACCTGGCACTACAGTCAGGGAATGGGGTGGATCCAGTTGTGGAGGTGTGAAGAAGCCAGGACTGCAAGGAGCCAGGAGCAGGAGCGGACACGTCTGCCATTTTTATGTACCTCCGTGTTATCCAAAACATTCTTTGTCCAAGGAGAAGTTGGAAAAATGTAATCGGCAGGCACTGAATATTATTAATACTACTGTTTTCAGGGGGCATTATAGATTCATATTGGCTTGAATTTAATCTTTACTTCCTCCTGATTTATTACTTTCTGATTTTTCATTTCCTAATGTCTTTCTTTCCTCTCTGCTCTTGCACTGAGGACCTTACACTGAAGACCATGTAGACTTTTAAATATATATTGCTAAATATTCTTCACTCAGTGTAATTTTAGAAAGGAAGGAAGTCAGTTGAAATCAATGACAAGCTGGAGAAATAAGCAGTTTTTAAGGAAATGAAGTTTTATTACTGCTAGGGATGTACTGAAACTGTTGAAAGCAGTCATGAGCTTCGTCGCTTAGGAAATGGATGGCTGCTTTACCTCCACCATAAGCACATACTGTAAATTTACTCTGTGAAATAAAATATGTGGAGTTTTGAGGGGGGGGCTGACAACCTTTCTCTTTAAGTAGGCTAACATTCATTTCTTTGCAAATTGCTTAGCAACCATATTTTTATTTGAACTTGATATTGAGGCGTAAATGCATACCTCGGTTGTTTAAGACTTGGTGCTAATGAGGTCAAGACCATGCATTAAATCTCCACACTGCCAATCCTCTCCATCCCCCTCCCTCTCTGCTACAAGAGTAGGCCCAAGTACTCTGATCTGGTTATGAGCAGCTGAGGGGCTTAGGGTGTGGATTAATATCTCCTGTATGCTTCCACATCTTGGAAAATGGTTGTATTTCCATCTGCAGTGTGCCCATGGTTGGCAACTTCATCTTTCTTCGTGAGAATCATTTTTCGGAGAGTTTAAAGGTAATTTAAACATCAGTATTGTTAGTGTAGTGACTTGATATTTCAGTTTTGGCTACCTGAGCGTGTTACGTAAAACTAGAAGAAAATTTTCTATTTTCCGTGCATTTGGTGCACATGTAATTTTACTTTACTCATTAAGGCTAGCGCTGTCAGCTCCTAAAATTGCCTCTGAGCTCTTTGAAAAACAAATAATGATTCTTTTCATGAGATCAGCGTTTTTTAGTTTTTTTGGCAAACTTTCTACTCCAACTTGGAAAGTGCTTTTTTCTCTGATTAAAATGTATTTGTCTATTAAATTAAAATGCAAATATAGACAGTCTGTGTTTATGGTTATAGTAGAATTATTTAAAGAGTTCTTTAAATCAGCCTTCTATTATTATTTCATGCAGAAACATTGTTTTATTGTTGGGCTGGTGCTGCCATGGTCCATTTTCAAGATTACTTAGAGAGCTATGAAAACTTAATCACATTGCCCAGGTTTTGTCAATTTGTACTCACTCTTCTCTAAGAAGCTGAATTAACTTGCTTTCTTTTTTACTTAAGAAGCTGGATCAGTAATGTTGGAGAAATTTCAGGTACTAAGACTTTGGAACTTCCTGAAATTGACCTATTAAAAATTTGCTATTTGTTTGCAACAAATAATAATCATATTTTACTTTATAGGATAGGTGAAACTCTTAAGAATATCATATTTAATAAGTTCTCATGAAATTAAAAATCTAGAAGCATAAATTTGTGTTATGACTGTACAGTCTGTGGATTAGCATTGTAATGTATTTGTATGGGAAATCGCATCTGATGTTATGCATTTAATTAAGGTCTTTCCAAGTATCTTACATTTCTCAGTAACTGTGGCTAAAATAAATCTAAAATAATATTTTATGACTCTATCTTTTTCTTTTTGACTGTTTTTAGTGATCTCAGTGAAAACCAAATTCAGGCTATTCCAAGGAAGGCTTTTCGTGGGGCAGTTGACATTAAAAATTTGTAAGTATATATTTATGTATTTATACATGTGTGTAGCTTTTAACTTGCACTGTTTGTGTATATTATCATGTTTTCTGTGTTCTTTTTGTGTTGAAGATCTTGTTATCAGAAAGGGATGAAAACCTTAGTATCTTTATCCTTGCTTATGAGACCTTGTAATAGAAAAGTTTAAGCTGTTGTTGAAGAGTTCCTCACTGAGAAGGTAACTGGAAGTTAGTCATTATCAAATCTATTCTTCAAACCCTGCTACTAATGTTTTGAAACCTCATGAAATGACTGAAGATATTTGCAATCCATTTTCTTTTCCTGCTATCACATTTCAGTCACTCCTTTTGTAAGTTGCCTTCAGTGTTAATTGAAGTGCAGAATAAGAACTATTTTTTCTCAGGGGAGTAGATAATATTTTCTTGTAGAGATAAGTGGAGCCTAGAGTTTAATTTTTAGAGGTTTTAAGTCACCATTATTAATAAATATCAAAAATGAAATTGCGAAAATTATGACTTTTTTTGAATATTTTCTCAAATATTTTCCTTCTTATTTTCATGAAGTAAGAGTTTCCTCTTCTAAAATTAGAAGAAGAAAAATGTATCTCTGTAGTTTTCCTTCCTGAATCTTTAATCTGATTTGTCCTAAAGAAATATTTTTAAGTGCCTTTGGCTCATGAGCTACATTTCAGATTTAAGATATCAGTGACAATCTCAGTATTCTCAATATATCCTTTATAGGTTTTAAAATACCATGTTAATGTTGAAAGAGGGTGATTTTTAGTTGAATAAATGTTGGGACATAAAATGCTTCCTTTAGTTTATATAAGGTTTTGGAATGTATGAAACAAAGATTGCTGCAGTATGTTGAGATTAACTTTCAGCAATCCAGTATTTCTTAGCTAGTAATGAAGCAGGCACTTTTTAAAAATTATATAACATTCAGAAATCTCCACGTTGGGATCTAGTGCTATTTTTCCAACAGTGAAAGTGAAACAGCTGATTTCCCTTGTCAAAGAAGACAATTGTTTATAAAGCCAGGCATTTTGGACTTGTCATCTTCTTCTAAATATAAATGGATTTTCTATTACATTGTACTTGCTAACTATACAGTGAAAGACACAAAACTACAGGTTTGTAGGTGTAAATGTATAGAGCCATCAAATCATGACTACTTTTTATGAACACTCAAGTTAAAAGCATTTCATTTGCTTTCTATTTGTGTTTGCTTGCTAGGGCTTGGAGAATGCAACTGAGTTGGTGATGTCTAGTCCAAACTGTCTCCATGATATGTCTACTTAGACTGGCACAGTGACCCCTGTGTAACATTACTCTCCTTCCCTTTATGTCACTGTGAATGTAAACCTTTGGCTATAGTTGAGTACCCTTAGGGGATGTTATTTGCAAATTTACAGGCATGTTATTCTCCATTCTCTGTGTGTATGTGTGTGTCTCTGTGACTTACTGATGATCAAACCAGTCAGCTATATCCCTAGTCCATTTTGTTCTGTTTTGTTTTGAGACAATTTCTAAGCTCCCCACGCTTACCTCAGACTTGTAATCTTTGTGCCTCAACATCCCCAGGGGCTAGGATTAATGATTCAGACCACTGCACCCAGATTACCTCTAAATTCTTGAAATACATGGTTTGAAATCTTAATCAAGATGTTTGAAGAATCCAAGGCAACAGGAAAAGGTTCCCCATCTTTAAGGATACATTTGGGAGTAGGATCAGTCATGATGAATTTCTTCCATATGTTTCTTCATTAACCTTCAAAACAAGTTTAGAGATTAAACCAAAAAAGTGGTAGTCGTTTGCTATGAGGAATGAATATTTTAGAACATTTTACCCTTCCACACCTCGGCTTTCATCAAACTTAAAGCTGTTGTTTTGTATGTTATAAGTTTAAGATTAAAGTGATAGAGTTTTGCTGTTTGGGGATTTGTAGACATGAACAAATCATCAAACCCACCTAACTGTAGTTCTTGGTTTCATAAAAAGAATATATAGATGGATCATTGTGTTCACTCATGAAATAAGATATCAGAGCAAAATAGTAATATACTATGAAACCATACTAGAGCATTGCATTCTGTGAATATTCAACAATCAAAAAGTAGAAGTTATCTATGAAAAATGTTATAGTAAAGTGTTTGTAGCATAAAATAAATAGTAATATTGGGAATTGATATGATTATTTTGTTATGAGAAAATTGGAACCAACTTACAAAATAGAAAAAAAAAGATTCTTCACAGAATGAAATAAATATACTCAAAGCCTAGATTAATTAAAGAAAGACTTTAAATACTATAGAGATTAAAGAAAGAGAAAAATAAAGATTGGATTTTATTATTTATTGGTGTTTAGGAATAGGTAACAGTGAATTGAAAAGTTAGAATTTCTAAAAGAGGCTGTGTCCAAGCCTGATTTCAGAGTTCAGAGCATTAAAACAAATTGCAGTGTAATGTGTATGTATGCTTGTGCACGTGGTACAAGAAATTTCATGACCAGTTTTAAAAAATAAAGCAATATGAATCTGAAATAACAGTAGGGGTAAAAGTAACAAAGTTTCAATATGAGAAAGATGCATAGAACAGCATTCACACAGTTTCAGCTTTGGAGCTTTTTGTTGCAGTGAAAATAAAAGAATTTCAAGAGATTTGTGTGGACGCTGAACAGTGATAGTCAAATGAGCAGTTTTCCCCTTTTGTAATTGTTTCCAAAGAACAGTGTAAAAGACCACAATAACAATGTTGAAATAACAAATTTAGCATTAAGAGGCACAACTAATTATTAGGGTCATAGCTATATAATTTTGCAATTAAAAGGAATTTCCTAAATAAAAATTCATTCATACTACTTTTGTTTAAAAAAAAAGAGATCACATCTTATGAGGCATGTTATGAAATTTAGATTTGTTTGAACTTAAGAAAGGTATCTTGTATCTGGAAAAATATATTGAAACTTAAGAGTTAAAGTCTAATTCACATTATTATTAAGTAAATTGGTAACCATCACTTACCAAATAACAATACATCAAAATGCCATTTGTATTACCATATTTACATTCATAGTGAGAAGGCCAGGTGTACATTAACAGATTGGAATTGTCACATGGTGCAGGGCCCCCGCAGAGTAATTCAGACAATGCAAGAAAATCAGAGTGGATGGCAGAAATGTGTTGTTTATCTGCACCAGGGTTTGACAAAGCAAAGATAATAATGAGAAGTATGGAGACTGAACATTCTCAGAAGGTAGGGGACCAAGCGTTGGGGGCAGAAGACAAGGAGGAGAGAAGAAGAGAATGAAATAAAGAAATAAGATGTGTTATGTACCTGCGCCAGCTCTGCAGGAGGAGTGCATTATGCACAGCAAATATGCACTCATGAAACATTAAAAAAAAAAAGAAATGCGTGCTTTTTGTGACGAGACTGGATGGAAGCGAGATCTGCTTTAGCCTCAAAGCCCACACTTCGTGGAGCAGAATCCAGGAGCCAGGCTGGAGCACTCTAACAGGTTCACTGCATTTCTGCAATCAGGCCTTGTTCACGGTAAATTCTAGTTATTATAAGATTTCCACTGAAGCACTTGCTTTAATCTTGTAGATTGGCTAAATATGCTCAAGGCAACATCCTGACAATATGAAATTGATGCTGTGGAAATGTTGCAAATTAGCAGATTTTATTCCCCTTCCTTCAGGCAAACCACACTGAAACTGTAGTAGACAGATGGGCATTTATCTTGTGCTTAAGCATCTCTAGGGAGGCCTTCATGTAACTTTTTTGTTTATGTCTATTAATTTTTTAACTAGGGTAATACATTTTACTAACATCTTATTTTCTTTTTTTATTTGTATATTTACTTATTTTAGTTTATTTAAATTTATCAGTACAATTTAGGTATCCATAATGATCACATTCACTACAGGGAATTGGTACCTATCTGTGATATATCCTGATTTCTCTTTTTTCCCCCCTTCCTGTCCTGTTTTTCCAGACCCACTTCACTTCCCTGTTCAAAAGCTGTTTCCATTTTATTCTTTTCTCATCTTTTTCTTTCCCTCCCTCTCTACCTTTTTTCCTTTCTGCCTGCCTTTTTCCTCCCCCTCCCTGGTTTCCTTTTCCTTTTGAACAATTTACTCCCATTTCCACTCATTTTTTCCACCTAAAATTAAACCTGCTTTCTTGCATTTTAGAAAATGAGATGTGAGAATAACAAAACATTAAAATATCACTAAGTAGTAGTTTTATGATCGTCATGGGCAACACTTTTGCATAAGATTTACATCTGTGATTTCAGAATCCTAAAGAAATATGAGCTAAAGTATCGACACCATATCATTACCATCCAACGCCTCACCGAGATAACCAATGTTTATAGGACTTCCTTTTAGAAACTTTGCATATATATTCAAAAGATTTGACTAAGATTCAGTAAAGCCTGTTCTTCCTTCTAAGCAAATCTTGAAAGGAGACATATTATGGTGTACATCATTTTCTTCTCAAGTATCTATTAAGTATTTACATTTGATTTAATCTTTTTGAAAATATTCATATTAAATCCTGCTTTGGAGCTTATACTTACAAAGGTAAGCCTCAAATACATACTTTATGAGCGCTAAAATATTGCAAAAATCTCTTGTGTTTTTAAGAAAACATTTCCAGTTGTACTAAACCCATAATTTAAACAAAATGAATATTCACACAAATATATAAAATGTAAAATTAAAAACAGATTACTAATTGTATTGAAATCACAAACATAACTATACTTTTAGTTTATTTAGTGAGCTCAGTATTAATAATTATATTCTGTGTGAAACAAATGAGACTCACATGTGTAAACACTGTATTGTCTCCCTTGGTTAGAAGAAGCTGGAGGAAAAGTGATAAATAATTATAGTGCTGATTTCTCTGAATTCAGTGAAGAGAAATGTCTGTGCTAGTATTGTTTTGACAATTAAATGCAGGTATCTTGTATTCTGAGTAACTTTTCTGAAGATGACAATGCATAA